TATCAAGTGACAGTTTTGAAATTACTTTTCCTGTGGTTTTCCAGAATACTCACCTATAGAGACTAGTTGGAGTTCAAACTTATCATTTATTTTTTAAAAGATTGTTTCATTCCAGTAGTATAACGAAAGTAGAATTTTTATAATGCATTCTGAACACTGCTTTGTCAGGGAGAAGCAAAGATCAGATAATCTAGAAGACAATGAGGAAATGGAATGTTTTTTTAACAGTGTGAATTTGATATTTCAAGATCATACTCACAGTTTACAATTCTGTCTGTTAGGAAGAGAGAATGAATGTGGGAGGAGCATAAATTTACCTTTAGAATGTAATGCCTGAAAATTTTTTTTTTCTTTTTAAAATGGCTATTATAGGGGCCGGGGTTGTGGCTCAACGGTAGAGCACTCGCCTAGCATGTGCAAGGCCCTGAGTTCAATCCTCAGGACCACATAAAAATAAATAAATAAAATAAAGGTATTGTATTCATCTACAGCTAAAAAATAAATATCAAAAAAATAGTTATTATAATTAATGACCAAAAGAAAAATGTCTTTCTGCATTAAAGACTTAGGCAAGAAAAACAAGCTACTTACTTCCTGAAGGCAACAACTTTAAGTAATGTGATACTCTGATGTATTTAATACTCTCATTAATAGAATAATTCAGTGTATTCTGTATACAAATAAATGAGGTGGATAGATAGATAGGATGCCAAGGAAATATGCTTGATATTGCAACTATCAAGAATAGACTTTATTCTTTATTCTTTCCTTTATAAATGAGGATCTTGTCTCAATAGCATACATAAGAATGTAAGTTAATACATTATAGAGGGGTATATATTTTAGGACTAGGCTATAGTAATAGGAAAATCCAACAAATAAGATGAAAGATCACCTACTATAATGTGATCTCTTGTGTGCAGAGTGAATTGGTCCTTTCTGCACTATGAATATTCACCAGAAGATTTAGTGGTTCTTCGGGCAATTCAGATGTATCTTAATATCCCAACTGGAAAAATAATTCAGAACATGTACTGGTAAGTCCAGTGCTACTCTGATGGATTGCTCTCATCTCACATGTTTGCCACATGGCATTTTATATCTATGATATAAGCAGTAATATTATCCTCAATCAAGGTCGCAAAGCAAGTCACTTTCAGAGCTATGGGATTAGTGCTCAGAGTTCTTGATTTCATTCTCAAACAGGTGTGCCCTAGTTTGAGAAAATCTGTTATACAAACTACCAACTCACAAAATAGATGAAGTAATTGGTGATTACTTACATTTCAAAAGACTTCTTTTTAGAACTGCCTAAAACAGACATTTCTGAAGAGTATAATATAGCCAAAGGGGCTTAGACTATTTCGAACCAAACCAGGAAGCCTAGTTTCTCTGCTATATCATTAATGCAGTAATGCAGTACATAAATTTCATTCATTGTTTCATTCATTCATTCACTCATCTACTAAATCATTCATATTGTTATTCAGTGAATCTTTCATGAGTATATTGGATATACAAAGACTAAGACTTATATATGGCTGTCCTTGAGGCATTTAAAAGAGAGAGACAGATGTGTAAGCAAACAAAGGAAATAAATATTTAATGATACAGACAAGGAAGTAGTCTAAGCAAGATGGAAGAGTGAACTGTAGCAGTAGGGGTAGGCTTGGAAAATGAGGAAAGAATGCTGTGCTAAAGGAATAGAATTCACATGACATAGGCTGGGATTGGCTTAGAGGTAGAGCACTTGTCTAGCATGTGTGAGGCACTGGGTTCGATTCTCAGCACCACATATAAATAAATAAAATAAGGTCCATCAACATCTAAAACAAACGAAAGAATCCACATGACATGATAACAGATTGGATGCAGGGCCCCAGGAGAGAGATAGTCTTGGGATGACTTTTGGCCTAGGTTACTTGGTTCAACAGTGGTTTCATTCATGAAGAGAGGGAGTTTAAGAGGAGGAGGTATTGAGGGCGGATGGGGTAGAATTAGATTTATTTTAATAACAATAAACACATCTTCACTTATATAGGATGCAAGGAAGAAGCTGTTGGGAAGAAGTTGAAAATATAGGAGAAAGGAAATTACAGTAGAAGAAGTTTCCTGATTTAGAGTGGCAAAGAAATGGGAGGGTTATATAGTAAAAGGAAAGGAAGTGGCAAAGAAATGGGAGGGTTATATAGTAAAAGAAAAGGTATATATAGTAAAAAGTACCTTTTCCTTTGGCACTGAAGGGAGTGAGGAGGGTTGTTTCATTCATGTATACATGAATTAGGTGTAGGAATTTCCCTGATAACCAAGTAGTCCTCTAGCCAAAAACTCTTACCTAGCAGGAGTATGATAGAAGTACCATCAGAAATAGCAATAGGCTATTAAACTCATGTTAATATGGGTTTACCCAATTTATATAACAGAACACATATCTTATAAAATTTAAGTATATTTGTCCTATAATGAAACATAAATCTCAGCAGTTAGTGGAACGATCTTGTTATCTTAAAGGCCTAGGTTCAGTGTACAAGACTGAATTGAATGAGGTAATGCCCTAACGTGTTTTAACAATGTCTGGCCACACTGAACAGTGTACACTCGACGGGAGAAACAACTGCTGTCTTACACAAGGCACTTACATTGTACTTGCATTTTTTAAAGGATATATCATTTCATACAAATCTCACAAATCCCCATATGCTGACAAAGCTGACAATGTTTGTCTTTTACAGATGATTAACCTGGTTATACTAACAGTATATCTAGTACTAATGGAAGAGAATATCCAAAGATCCAACCAAACACCAATATCACTTCAAAAGATTAACTTCCTAAACTGTCCCAGGTTCTCTCTGATTCCCTATAAAATTGCAGTGAGCAGTCAAGATTCTAGACTAAGATTAACATTTCTAAAACCATCTAATATTCCACATTACTGATGGCAGTACTGTTCAATACAAATAAAATGTGAGCCATATGAGATTCTAAATTGTGTAATAACATGATTTACATTACAGCTAATTTCTTTTTATTATTATTATTATTATTGGTTGTTCAAAACATTACAAAGCTCTTAACATATCATATTTCATACATTTGATTCAAGTGGGTTATGAACTCCCATTTTTACCCCGTATACAGATTGCAGAATCACATCAGTTACACATCCACGTTTTTACATATTGCCATACTAGTGACTGTTAGCTAATTTCTACTTAACAGAAAGTTACATGTGAAGCCTGAGAGTTCATAAACCAGATGTTATTCCTCAAATATAGTCAAATACAGTCAATTCATGCAGTATCTAATGCAAATATATTTAGGCTGGGTACGGGAGCACATGCCTCATTCCAGCATCTCGGGAGTCTAAGGCAGGAGGATCACAAGTTCAAAGCCAGCCTCAGCTAAAGTGAGGCACTACGCAACTTAGTGAGACCCTGTCTCTAAATAAAATACAAAATAGGGTTGGGGATATGGGGATGTAGCTCAGTGGTGGAGTGCCCCTGAGTTCAATCCTCAGTACCCAACCCCCCCCCCCCAAAAAGGAAGTTTACTGTGAACTCTCAGCTGGTTCATTCTTGAAACTAGTAAATAAATAATTGAGTTTAATTTTGCAGTTACTCTTTCTAAATCCGAGGCATAGGTCCCTCAGACTTAGCAGAAAATCTTCCCTCATTTTCTTTCCTTCTCTGATTCCTTCCCTGTGTTTCATTATCATTTTTAGTTGTCACTTAGTCTGCTATTGCTTATCTCCCAGGAATACAGAACTATAACTGCATGAGTAAGTATGGGGTTGCACATTTGTGTCATCGGAGAGTCCCAGTAATGGCTGGAAACACATACACTTGGTGTTTTAATTGTGGCGACTGCACGTTGGCCTTTGATATTGTTTTATTACCCTGTTGTCTGTGAAATGAAGGCTTGATTAAAACAGGCTTTAGAGTCTTGTCTCAGCTATTTTAATGTGGCCAGGACTGAAGCTGTGATTGCCCTTCTTCATATTTATCTACTTATTTCTATCACTACTACTGTGATTGTCCTGTAGTGTATATCTTTCCCTTGTACTTAAAGCTCCCTGGAATTAGTCTAGTGATGTACTGATTTACACACCATGTACCAATCGTTATGTGAAGGTACTCTACACTTGATCACAGAAGTCTCTTTCTTCATAGTTCTAGTATTAGTCAATTTCACAGAGCTCTTTTTAATTTAATTTGCTTCTTAAATAAAAGGTCATTTTCATTCTTGCATCTCTCTCCTATATTGTGAAGAACTGAAACAGAATAGCTTATTATGGAAGCAATTTATCAGTCAGATAAACCTATTATTCAGTAAACACTGACACGCAAATACACACAGCTGTAGATAATTAAACCTTCTCTTGGTTTTCAATTTTGCTAATCACCATTCTATTTGGTGCTTTTGATTTTAATTAATTAATTAGTTATTAATTTGATCTTAGAGGTCATTCTTGAAGCCAGAATTATTCTTCCCACTGCAAGAATACCTGAGATGACTTTCTAGTCCTTATGTGCATTAAAAGAACCAAGCACTTGATGGAGCTGAGCAGGCAAGGTTGTAGAGGGGATGAATATGGCAGAAATTTTGTGGAGTTTGAAAGGCTCTTGCATTAAGCTTATCCATATTGTTAGGATCTTTATAAAATACAAGTCTTTAAAAATACAATTCTTATAGTAATGAACTGGATTTGTATTTTGTATGATTCCAATAGTCTGTTGATAAAAAGAAATATAATTATTGTTTGCCCCCTGACATAAGTTATAGTGGACTCTACCCTGAGCCACAGAATTAGCCTTATAAGTAAACTGAGAAGTTTCACTGCCTAAAATTTTCATATATCCATGTGGTTTCCAGGAAAAATCAGCATCTTCAATGTATAACATGTATTTCATAAATAAAGTCATTCATGTGTTTTGTATAACTTAGTGTTTTTCTTGTTAACACTATATAACTAACTTTAATCTGTATGTATTTACTAGGAAATTGCCCGGCATTTACGCCCTGGAACCCTTAGAGCAATCTTCGGTAAGACTAAGATCCAAAATGCTGTTCACTGTACTGATCTGCCAGAGGATGGCCTGTTAGAGGTAAGGGAAAGAAAGGTAGACCTTATGTTTAATCATATCACACACTCAGAAATACTCTCAGCAGTTGGCATGTAAGAAACCATTTCATATTCTTCCACCGCACTGTTACTTGGACATCTGATAACTTCAGACTGTAGAAGACAAAACCATGGCTGGGCACAGTGGTGTGCACCTGAGGCGAGGGGATTGCTTGAGCACAGGAGCTGCAGCTCCAGTCCAGTCTGGGCAACATAATGAGACGTCATCTCCTTAAAAAAGAAGTCCAAACTAGTGTGGTGCATATAACTGGGCCAGCTTCAAAGAATTAAGTGTTGTTGTTTTTTTTCCTGATTGCCATATATTATAGTTTAAAATAATTTAATAAGAAACTATAACATAATTGAATCTTATAAAATATAATTTTAAAGCAGGCAATAGTATCTTTATTCTAAGCCATGAAAATATTCCAATGGAATTAAGAACTGCGGTATGCAATGTGATAGCATTAAAAGTAATAGCTGCCACTTAGTAACTTTCTATGTGCCAGGCCCTACCATGATAAGTGCTTTTTATGAGTTATTGCTACTAATTGTCATGGCAACTTTAATAGACTGGTAAAGTTAGATCTAGTTTTTCAGGAACACGCAAGTTAGACTCACAAAGATTAAGAAACAGACCCAAATGAAACAGTTAATAAGCAACAGACCCATATTTTGGTTTCTCATCTAGTAGAATAAATTAAGAAATGGTGATAAAAATTCTAAAAAAAAGAAATGTAAAAATTGATCTGATTTGGGGTTAAGAAAGTTGTTTCTAGACCAAAACAAAGAAAGAAACTTTAAAAAAAAAGTTTAAAAAGTTAATTTTTAATTTATTAGTTGAAAAAAATTTAAGTATCAAAAGAAACTAAATGAAATTAAAAGACATATCTCCATGAGTCTATCCACCTCCATGCATATGTGTATCTTTTTATGCAAAACGTACTTTTTTTCATGCAAGACACAGACTTATTCTATTAAATTTATTCCCACCAGTTTTGTTTCTGTTGTATTAGCTTCATCAAGATATTCTGCTATAATCCAAGATGTCATCTACTGAAGTCTTATCTAAACTGTGAACCTCAATATGAAATTTTGACATACTTGTGAAATAGAAAAATATAACAAGTTTTGTTTTTAATTACCTAAAGGATTACATGTTTATTTTAAATTCACCTGTTTTATAAATATTCTCTTTTCCTTTTGTTAGTTTAGGGCCTATACATTAGATTGGAATAGAGACTATTACTCAGTGAAACCAAATATTATTAACCATGAAATTTATACGCCTTGCAAATGTTATCCCAAGTATGCCTGTGGTTTTGTTCATACAATTTAAAATAGATTATTGCTGCCTTCAGTTTATAAAGACATTTACTAAATGACTAATATCTAATATCGCTGCATTGAAGATTTCATTGCAAATTATCAACTGTGCAGTCTGAAGAATTAATCAAAAACTGGAAGTTGGTGCTCTAGCAGCCTACTTGCGTATTTTTCTAAAAATTTGTTCTTTTTAGATATACATGACAGTAGACTGCATTTTGACATATTAATACATCCATGGAGTATAACTTATTCTAATTAGGATCCCAATTTATTGGTTTTGCATGATGTGGAGTTTCATTGATCATGTATTCATATACGAGCATAGGAAAGTTATGTCCAATTCATTCTATTGTTTTTCCTATTCCCATACCCCTTCCCTTTCCTTCATTCCCCTTTGTTTAATCAGATGAACTTCTTCCGCCCCCACCCAATTGTGTGTTAGCATCAATATGTCAGAGAGAGCATTCATTCTTTGGTTTGGGAGGACTGGCTTATTTCACTTAGTATGACAGACTCCATCCAGTTCCATCTATATACTGGCAAATGCCTTAATTTCTTTCTTCTTTATGACTTGGTAATATTCCTTTGTGTATATGTATACCACATTTTCTTTTTCAATTCATCTATTTGAAGGATACCTAGGTTAGTTTCATAGCTTTGCTATTGTGAATTGAAGTACTATAAACATTGACGTGGCTGTGTCACTGTAGTATGCCGATTTTAAGTCCTTTGGGGGTAAACCTAGGAGTGGGAAAACTGGGTCAAATGGTGGTTCCATTCCAAGTTTTCTGAGGAATCTTCTTACTGCTTTCCAGAGTGGTTGGTGCATACTTGATGCAACTTGGATGACTCATCCTGTTATCGATAAAATGGAATAGAGAATGCTGACAGGGCCAGGGATGTGCTATTAGTTAGGAAATAATGATTTGCTGGCTTTATTTGTCTTTAAATAATAAAGTAATATGAAAGCACTTAAAGGCCAAAAGTCCAAGAGTTATCTGCCCATAGGGCTCTAAAGAGTAGTTCAGGGTGACGCTAAGACCAGCTCCCTTTTCCAGGAAGGACTTGGTTCTTTAGCACTGCTGGTCATTAAAGGAGCATTGTTTTGGGTAGAGTGACCTTAACATTTATCACCCAACCCAAGATCCTTTTGAAAGGCAGCTCCTGTGGGACAGGAGGCATAAAGCTGAATGTCACAGGCAGAGTGAATTGCCATCCTGTTCAAACAGCAAGAAAAGACAAAGGAGTCTTACTTCATCTTGCCCTAATGTGATGTTTACTGAGCTGTGTTTGTGTCACATGTATAGAGCTGAAAGTGTGATTTCAGTTTATATTTTTCCATCATCCATTATTTCCCATATGTATTTGTACAGTAGACAGTTTTAGCACTTGTTTCACTTGCCGGCATTGTGACAGCATTTTAAATCAAACGGGACAATTTCTCTGTTCTCATAGAGTTCACAGTAAGTTGGAAGGTCAAAGGTCTTAGCACGAATATAGAAATCTGATTTCTTTTGATGCTGCTGGTGGTGACAAAAGTCATTTTTGTAATTATAGGGCAGAACCATGTTTATAACATGAGACATCCTGGAATGTTCTCTCACTGGCTGTGTGCTCTGGCACTCTGTGGCAGTAATGCCAAAGCTCTTAAATTTAGGTGTGAAAGCATCAATGGAGAAAATGTCCACCTAACTAGTAATTGGAGAAATCATGATTCATAGCAAAGAATTTTTAAAGTAATACTGCCCACTGCTTGAAAGGCTGCAGTAAAATAGATCTACTCATATTACTGGGACAGCTTAGGGGCAACAGGTATTAAAATCTTGGGGGCATTTCCCACAATTCTACTTCTTACAATCTAACCAAAGGAAGATTCTGGCATTCTGACTTCAAAATGGAAAGTTATCTGCACAGATGTTCATGGATGAATATTTGTAGTAATTAAAGTTGGAAAGAATGTACATGTCTAAAGATAGCTCCTGTATCCCCTCCTCTGAGAAACCTTCCATGACACTTGGAAGGCCCGTTTGTGTGTTTTCAAAGTACTTTGCTTCTCTCTACGGTAATAGTATTGCCAGGAGTCAAAATAGCTCTGTCCTCTTGGGCAAGTAGCTTATCTTGCTGTGCCTATGAAGGTAAATAAGGACAGTGCCTGCCTTATCAGATAGCATAGTACCTAACAAATAATAACTGCCCAACAAATGATCGTAATTAAGTTATTACTGTGCAGTGTCTCTTTGTTCATGAATTTCCACATGGAACTAAGTACTCATAGGGGAGAAATTCTTTCTTTCCTGACATGTAAGGAGATTCTTTCTTGCTTTTCAAAGAGTGATTTTGGGAGGAAAAGAGGAAAGAGTTTGATTAAATAAATTATGGTTCCTGCACTCAGTGAAAAATATGTAACATTTTCTAATGATGAAAATATCGACTCTCTACCAGTAGTACCTAACCTTGGTTGCACATTAGAATCACTCAGGCAGTTTTTCAAATACTGATGCTCAGACCCACCCCTCAAAGATTCAAATTTTTTTTAAAAAAAAGTTTTCAAACTTCTAGAAAAGTTGCAATTACAATACAAAAAAATAAATGTTTTAAAATGAACATTTGAGAGTCAGTTGTCAACCTAATGTCCTATACTTCTGAATACTTTAGGGTATATTTTTTAACATAAAAAAAAGACCTTTTCAGTCATCTTATACTTAGGAGGTCAACATGGGCAGGTACATCACTATCCTAATTCTCAGAGTCCATCCCAGCTTCACCAGTTGTCTCAATCAGGTGCCTCAGTAGCCGGAGCCAGCTCGGCATCATACACTGCAGTTAGTTTTTTCTTTCGTCTCTTTCAGTCTACAGCAATTTCTCAGTTTTTTCTTGACTTCCATGACCTTGTCACCCCTGAAAATAACAAGCAGAATTCAAAGTGAATGTGTTCAGTTATGCCTTTGCTTGCCAGCAGCCTTGCTAAGTGGCCCTGCCTGCAGTACTCGCAGGATGCTGCAAGGGTCCATTGCTGTGTGGCATGTGGTCCTCCCGAGGAGGCACTTGCTCTGCCCTCCACACTAGGGAAGGAATGGCGCCTTTTCATTTAGGAGTCCCCTGCCTCGCCTTCCCTCTGCCCTCCAGTGACAGTCCTCATCTCACCCATGTCATGAGTTTCATTTTCTCCCCTTTCCTCTGCTTCACTGCAAGAACTCTCACTTTTCTGTCTTTCAGTCTTTTGTCTGTTCCCCAGACCCTCTTTTTAGGGTCATCTCCAGCAGGAATAGCCATCACTTTGTATGCACAGAAATTGAAATTCTCAAAGTTGCTGAATGGATCATGGTAGAAAACTCAAGTATGTTTGAATTTTGAATGGCACACTAAAACAATAGGTCAGTCATCGTTTACTCAGATATTTATGTTATTTAAAAGTTAAAAACACTACATTGGGCACATAGCGATAAGCAGAGTACAGGTGGCCCCTGCCTTCATGGAGCTTCCTAGCTTCTAAGAGATCGTAATTATAGTAATTGTTTTATGCAATAATGAAAACATGGATAGTTCCTCTTTCTTTGCTAAACATTCTGTTACTTGGTTATATAACTTTATGATTTTAAAATAAAAATTTAAAAAGGATTTTAAATACTCTATCATATATAGTTCTCAAAACAA